TTAATATTGACCGAAAGAGGAATAGCATCTGCCGCTGTATCAAACGGAGCAACACGGGCATCGTGATTATCTAAAACATCCTTAAAAAGCTGTAGTCGGCTGGTTGCAACACAGACATCACGGATTATAAAACAGATGAGCAATAGCACATTGAAATAAAAATATTTCCGAGTCATTTTAATGACCGATACTTAAGATGGCATTATAAAGACTGCAGTATTTCTTACGTCTTAAAAATTAAGCTGGCGAACTGTATTTCGAAATGGAAAAAAGGTTAAACTTATTATATTGAAATCCCTGTATAGAATTAAAGTCTACTATTGCTCTAACAATAAAACAAAAGGTCAATGGATTACAACAGTTTCTTAAATAGCCTTAGTCCTGTTGGAGAATTTTTTTTTTTTCTTTTTTTTTTTTTTTTTTAAAGATCCCCCCTACTTATTCAATCTTTGATTCTATATTGTGGCTGCATTCAATGGACAATAATTTCACCGATTTTCAATGATACTATATAGAGAAAATGTGTATCAATCTGACAATTGCGGTCCTTTCGAAAAATTTCCTAAAATAAAAAAAAAAATCCCTATTCATAACTCATCACTGCTCTAGCTCCTTACATAGGGGTGCTTGTGTATTGATTCATGTATGACTAATAAAGGTCCTCTGTTCTTCAAAGAGGATTGTGAAAGTTTTTTTTTTTCTTTCAACTTTAAATGTCAAACTTTGACACATTTTTGCAGCACCACAATATAGCCTCTAATTATAAGTTCATTTTAGCAAACTTGAATATTCATAGGAATGTTTGTTTATTTAATATTGTTAATCACTTGAAAGGGGTCAGGGGTTGTAAATGAAAAGTGTGGTTATTAATTATATAGTGAAAATGCATAATTTCTTTGTGAAAATGCATAATTTCTTTGAACATATTCTTTTCTACTCCTGTTTAAAAGGCAAAAAACAAAAAACAAAACCAAAAAAAAAAAAAAAAAAAAAAAAAAAAAAAAAAAAAAAAAAACTGTAAGAGTATAGCTTTGATGAGCAAGGGTGCTTTTTCTAGAATTGTGAGTTTCATGGCCCTTTGGTCAGGGGTTCTTGTGTAAGAGTGGGAATCTATTTATGATATATAATAGAGAAAAGGCATTTAATTTAATTTTATTAAATAATCCTGTATATTGAGTAGATAAACAAAGTGCTAGCTATGATGGGCAAGGGGGCTTCTTCAAAAAATTTTAAAACTTGTGGTACTAGGGTCAGAGGATCTGGTGGTTTTTTTTTGGGGGGGGGGGGGTGAGGGAGGGTGGTTGGGGGGGGCTCCCTTTGTAATATATTGAAAATGTGCTAATTCTTTAATTCTTTGAAAGTTTTCAACTAATATCATCTATTTTATGGATATAAAATCGATGACTTTATTTTACGGGGAAAAGGTATTAATTTTGGTCGGGATCGGCCTGTGGCCCTGGGTATTATATTCAGGAAGCTCGAGATCAACATTCTTTTCAACAACTTGCTGGACACAGAGTAGGTTAGATATTTCTTTGACAAGTTTTTTTCATAATATTTGTAATAATTTTTTGCATCGGAAAATCTTCTCTTCTCCTGGGCATCTCGAAGACAAGCAGAGTAAAAATTTTAATAAACAAGGGTATTTTACCAGAATTTTGAAATTCTGGACTATTTAATCAAATATTCTGTTGCTGGCCAGGGCTCTATTAATTTGAATTGTACTGAGAGAATTTATTCCACTTTGCAATTCACCTTTTATAATTAATCACCGTAAATAATGTATTTCAAACGTTATCGGGATAAGAGAATTCTGCAGGACTATTTATTGTATAATTCGGAGCGTACTTTCATAATTTTAATGATCAGGTACACTTGTAAATAATAGATAAATAAATATGAGACAAAATAACGTATATCTTATTAGATGATCTTCGAAAACCAAGAAAGGTCAATGTGAGAGGTAATAATATAGGATTAATAGTAGTCGGCATGGTGATAGTGATAAACGTATAACTTACTTGTTGTTACTGAGTACTAAATTAATTACCTCGTTGATCCTGATAATCTTAATTCTCTTGCTTCTTGGCAACGAAACTTCATCTATCAGAGAAATATATAACTCTATGGATCCTCTAAATAAACCTCTGTAGTTAATCCAGAATTTAAGAAAAACAAATTATCCATTACCTGACAATTGTCGCATATGACTTCATTTATTAAAGAGTTGTTTTGTATTCTAATTAATGAAATACTTTAAATACGATGAAAATAATTTAAAAGTTTAAAGGATAGAAAAGGATGAATCTGACATAATTTATTTGGAGTGTGAAAATGGGTGTAACTGAAGTTATTGCAATTTGTCAATGGTGACAAGATTTGATTTTCCTCAAGTTATGCGCAGAAGTCAAAGCGATATATCCAACAGTAAAATGCAAGATGGCGGCATGTTGTACCTTGTGATTATTGAGTTTTTTGTGGATATTGAGGGAGATACGAAGTTTATTTGCCTAACACTTGATTTGGTGGACCAATCACACGTCATATATTATGATAATGAGGTTATGATGTAATGATTTAACACATATCCAGGCCAATACTGTGTTACTTCATGTATCACACTTTTTGTTTGCACCCTGAATTTTCATTCATCAATAATTTGCCCTCTTGACATAAATTGTAGAAGCTGTGTTAAGATCAATATCCTTGCTTTTATTCATCAATTTGAAAAGTCATCTTTTTTGTTCTTCATCATGCTTTTCATTAATTATTAATGGTAGTACATGTATGTTTATGTGTTGTGCATGTTTTTAGATGTTAACTTTTCATATTAATGTTTTGATGTAAGGTGCATTGCCTATATCTTCATATTAGATTGATGTTGATATATTTTATTTTAAAAAATTATGGAAGTATCAGCCAGACGCCTTAATCACAAATATTTCATCACTTATTTACGGCTAATAAGAACTCTAAGGAAATAGAGTTTTATTTTATAGAGTTACGGCATGGGTATGAGGGAAATAGCAAATTTATGGTTCCTCGATGGAGTTAACTATTTCCCAAGGCGGCGAAGGGAGATCATATCTTTCAAATAACCACAGAACTTCATTTCTATTATGAATGCTGTCCAGGACTATGTAGACCGTTGGGAGAGGGTATATGTATTGATCAACCCTTATGGGTATGGTCAATTTATGCACAGCGAAAAGAAAGCTTTCAACAATTGCTAATATCTTTCCTTAACATAGTAAGCACTACGTCGCATATTCTCCTGTTATTTTATCATTAATTCGTGTTTTTTTGTACCTGCTTCGAATGGCATGACGTGTGTGATCCGGATACGTTTTTTTTTTCAGAAAATTTTGTATGTATTCCGTGCTGCATGGGATTTCCAAAAAAAAAAAAAACTTATAAGGGAAAAGTTGGGCATGACCGGCGTCAAAACAAGAAGAAGAGGAAAGAAAAAAAAGAGAAAAATCTAAAAACAATACAAATTTATGAACAGGGCATAAAACACAACTCTTGAAATATCAGACGTGGCGGAATAAGCATCTCCTGTTGACTGGTCAACTGGTCACATCCGCCGTGTACCCTATGCATTGATCAGCTAGACGGAATATTCCAATCAAAATTCAAATTTCGTATAAAAACAAAGGCCTAACAATTTTTATGGAACACGCCAGTCAATACGACCAAATGATAGATTATATTTTTATCCAGGTTATCATAACGACATATAATTAACGAAGTGCTTACATTCAATGAGATTCAACTTATCTGCCAGTAGCCTGCCTTCCTTAAGAAATTGACTGTACTAAGAGCATTCTTTTGAGTATCGAATAAGTTGGCAGACTTAAACACCAAATGCAAATGATAGCGGAATATTACTACTTAAAAAAGGAAAGCTAACGATGGCATGCAGAAGTCATATCGTTTGTCATACAGTTTAGTCGCTGGTTTGGGCCTATCGTTTATTGCCATTAAATATCCAAATATAAGACAAATGTGATATACTCTAGGTGTCTTTTATTTCGATTTCACTGGGATATATCGATTCGTCCTATGAGTGGAAGTAGTTATTGTTAATTGTTAAAACGTCGTTGATAAATCAGAATGTCTAGTTGAAGGCAACGGCAAGTGTTTCCCTTTTCTTATGTAGGATTTTTAAAACATAAATTCTGCTTCATAGGAATATAACATTAAGTCAGCTAATAAAGGAGTAGAATTAGTACCTATCGCAATTCAAAGGGTTTGTTGAAAGACTTGGTCTCTAAAGACCTCATTAATATTTTCAATGATGAACTCTAGCATTATTATCATCTTCGGAGTACTTGTGTGTAGAATCAGATGATTTTAAGGTATTCATTGTATAACGAGCATATTTTGTACCTAATAAAAGAATAGTCCGATATTTTAAATCAAGTAAGCATTTTGAAGATGTTATCAAATAAAAATACTCCACCAAAGGAATTTGCAAAATTTTGATTTTTGTCCAATTAATTGCACCTTGAATTTTACATTGAAGTCTATGAGCAGCGCATGTTTTATTTAGATATTGTAAAAAGTAATTTCATACAAATCTCTTAATGAAAATATGCATAAACTCTCTCTTTATTAAGATATGAAATAAAATAAATGTACCACATATATTTTGACAAAATTAGTTAAATTTTTCTACTTTTCACAAAGGGCAGATATCTCTTGAAAAATGTTTAAGGTGCAAAATTATCGGCTACTAATATGTTATCAGTCTTGTGAATTTGGTTCATATTACTTTCATCATTATCTAGCAATACATATTTAACTAGTTTTTATGATGTAAAATTGTTCAACATTCCTTCATTATACATTGAATACCTAAACAAAGTAATTTTGTAGATGGCCAGTCACAAGATACGTAAATTTCCTATTTTTTTAATATAATTAACGAATACCTTGGAAACGTCATGTTAATCGTTTCTCATTTCTCATTTGATTTCTATTATTATAATCCTTGTGCCACATTTCAACTTTCATGTTATAATAGTATTAACTGGTTTTGGGAAGTACATGTAGTTTTCAAACTGGACTCTGACATTTATTTTTGGACACAATAGAATTGGAAAATCAACAGTTTATATTTCAGGTCGAAACTACAATTCCTCTTACAATCTGCAGTCGTTGATGTGATGTGTATCTACTGGAATGACGATGTCATTTTCACTTACTGCATAAATTGGTAAATCTGATACAGGTAGGTTTTTGTCCTCTGTGGAAGAAAACATAAAACCATTAGGAGCAGTGAATAACAAAAGAAATATAATCACATTACAGCCGTAGAATATTATATTTTTGTGTTGTCGGCAGTTTAAGACTGTCTCCTTTTCTCTAAGGATATGGTCAATCAAACAAATAGACAATCGAAATAAAATATTGACTCTTCTACATTTAGGTTAATTTAAACATATTTAATAGAGACAATACTGATGCAGCCAACCACTTCATTTTTTCATGTTAAGAGTTCCTTTGAGTGTATTATGAATAAAAATGTAGAGAAATTACAAACGCACATTGTAATCTACTGATTAAAGATTATGACTATTTGTAGACAATTACAATTTGATTTCAGGGCCAGGCAGATTAAAAACTGACAATATGAAATTGATTAAGAAAAATGACTTGAAAGATAAAATACATGCATATTTGAGAAAGATATATGAGTAGTAATTTTTCATAGTACATTACAGTAGAAATGAGAGCAGACAATATTTTAACATATTGTAAACATGTCTGAATGAAAGACAAGAAAAAAAATCGAAATATTTACGTTTCGAGTCGATGATGGGTCTTCTTCGGCAGCAAATCTTTTTATACCACTTTCTCCTTATAAAACATCGAGGAAGAGCACAAACAAGAACCATGCAATGGGAAGTAATGCCGCTAGTAAAATCTTTTCAGTTTCATTGTTTTCTGAGTTATCTATAAATGATGAGAGAAAACATTTTATTAAAAAGCCATTTTGCATATGTATCTCAATCAGCTCATGTGTTAGGCAGTTTTGTATTGCTGTTTAGCTCACCCGATCCGAAGGTACAAGTGAGCATTTCTGGTCAACTGTTGTTTATCTGTCTGATCAAAATTTTACATAGAAATATATGGGGGAAATCCTAAAAAAAACATCTTCTTAAGAACAACAAAGCCATGATTAGTCATTGTAATGTAGATAATGAATATCAGGTAGATTAGACTTAATTATGTTCAAACCTTGACTCCTGTAGGAAGGTTTGGGTCACATTAGGCGATCCAATTTTTGCATAGACGTATAAAAGGGAAAAATTTGTTGATGAAGAACAGAAAAGCCCAAAGTGATTCAGGTGAGCTTTGTGGTCCATGGGCCTCTTCTGTAACTTTTTCTATTTATTATACGATGATTTATTAATCTACCTCCCAATGATACATGAACGAAAAGGCTAAATTGGAGTCATAATTTTCAATAATTCCATGTTCTTTCAAATATTTATTACAACGGCATGCCCACATTTTTAGCTAATCCTGAAAAAATAGTATTTTAGATTCAGGTCGTAGAAATTATTATATGTACATATGCTGGCCTATATCTTTCTAAAACGTCAAAAAGATAAAAATAGTCATTTAAACTGAAGCTAAGTTAAACTCTACAGACTATGATCTAATCACGTACATGTAGTTATGTTTACGTATGTTAAAGAGCACCTGTGAGATTGTTTGTTTTAATGATGACCGAAAAATATACTTAAACACGTACATGTAATGTAAAAACTGAATAGTTTATTATGTGTTTTATGGGGTAATATATAACGTAGATTGGACAACATGGTTATTTGAGCATAATCGGCATCTCAATAATTGTGGATTAACATCTGTTCCAATGTAAGCTAACATACATGTTTCCCATAAATCACAGAACCATACATTATTTCAATTTTTTTTAAAAATGCATCAGAGGTAATAAAAATTTCCTACCTTCAGTCATTTACATACCCGTAGCTGTCCGAGACTTTTTAGACATTTTTTTTAAACAAAAGGTTCATAAATTGCGAAGTTCATGTAAGTATCCATGTTGCAATTTTATGTACTCCTTTGTTGTGTACCACAATTTTTCGTGGTTGTCATAAAACGATAAAAGACAACACAAACGTTTACGACCTTTAAAAAAAGACAGACATAGAAATCAATAAAGCGCCCGGGAATTCCTTCGTTGTTAGATAAAGTATAAGGTAAAGTCAACAATCTTGACACGTGATATTCAACTTGAAAAACAGTTACATTGAGATAAAATGTCGTACTTTCTACTTGCTTCCTAATTTGCAGGTAGATAATTAAGCTAAACAGTTTTGAGGAGACCCAAAGTTATCTTCTGATCTAAAAGAAAACCGGCAGTATATATACATTGCATATATCCACATCTTTATTACACCAATAGATCCTCAGATGATCGTACATAGATATCATATTGCCATGTTTTCAGGCTCCAAATTTACTATGGGTATATATAGAGACACAGAAACAAATTGTTTTATTTTGTCCGCATAATATAATATGTAGAAATACCTATGTACATGTATAACGTTTATAAATTATTTATTAGTCCTTTTAGTGTCAACAGCAGATTAGGATCTACATTGCACCTTCTGTGCCCTTTACAAACAGTTCTTTTTATCATACTATGGTTTCCAATGTTATACTGTAATTTTCTTTAGTAATTTAAATTTAAAGAGTTTTTGCCAGAAGTTATAAAATCAATTTTTTTAACAATGAATATAATTTTTATTTTTCATCTATACGCAACTTTAAGGTGTGAATTTTTTTTTTTTGTAGTAGAATTACATTTTATTGTATATTCAAGTTATATTTAATATAATTTCCAGAGATATCATCATTGATATAAAGATATTATATATTGTTCTGAATATCCAAAAAATAAAAAAAAAATCAAAGAAAATTAATGTCTGTTAAGTGTCACTGTAAAGGACGTGTCACACTATCACGATTTATGCTACGATTACTTACGAATTAAAAAAGTAGAAAATCGCCCTTCATCGCCAGGTTTGTCTGGTGATTTTCCATAGCGTGTGGAATTTTTTCCTGCTAGAAAGGTGTGTTTACGATGTCTGTGCGACAAAGTACGACGTTTATACGATTTAAGTACGAACTGAGGCGACAACATTACGAACTGTTTACGATATTTCTACAATTATGAAGGATTAAACGCGGTTACATACGATGCTCGGACGGAAGACTACGATATGGCACGATACATACACGATATTCCTACGATTAATGAAGATTTCTTACGAATATGCATGTAATGAAATGCATATAGAGGAAATGTAGAGCTGTTTGAAATTATTTAACATCATGATAAAGTTATTTGATCAGGGTAAAAGCTACAGTGTGGAGCTTTTGATTATGTTCAATCTCTTCATGAATTTATTGAACACTGTCTTTGTAGTTTCTGTGACACATGCATTTTCAGTTCTTTCTCTTTTCTTATAGCTTCTTTCCTTTTATTATAGGGTATTTTGATTTCGACAGAGTTAACATCAGACAACGTTTTCCTACATGTATATCTTATTAAGTCGTAGTTCAATCGCATAGACCTCGTACAGCACTTGCCATCAATCGTCCCTTTTTGTATCACATTCGCGGGAATGTCGTACTTAGTTCCCATCCATTTGAAGAACACTCGCAGTATCTCGTAGGACACTCGCAGTAACTCAAAGGACACTTGCAGTAACTCGTAGGACACTCGGAGTGTCGCGAGTACTACGAAGTTCTGCGACAGTCGCACAATTGTCGAAGATTTCAACGACTGTTTGTACAAGTGCAGTGCGAGTGTTGTGCGATTTTCTATGAATACTAAAAATCAAAGTACTGAGAGTACTGAAAGCCGCGCTTTAATATGCTAGAGTATATTGTCTAATCCTAAATTAGTACATATTTGAAAATCTTCCTTGTTGACCATTGATATTTAACAGGTAGAGTTTGTATGATTACGATTAACAATAACCCATCTACCAATAATTAAAATTAAGGGTCCAGAACCCAACGTTAAGACCCCAGGATAGGATTTGGTGATATTTTGAATGAAAATACATTTATACCTTTCTAAACATTAAGCTCACAATTGTTATGCATGGTGACAGTGCACTTTGAGTGGTTTTGCTGATTCATACAGACACATAGTATCGGAGGAGCTAGGGGTGTCACCATTTTTCAAACATAAACTTTTACAATGGACAATGAAAATTGAAAGGTTGATTGACTCTTCGCAATCAAATTTAAATTAGAACTTTCAACTCACTCTTCGTAATATATACCAGGTATTTGTCACGAGCGACGAACAGATTTACTAGAAGCAAAATGAATTGTCTAATTTTAATTAGATTGTACCCATCATTTTATTGTAGCATATTAAAATTACAGTAATTTGATAATGTATTAATGAAATTCGAAATGTGAACATAAGTTGTAGCCCACCCCTACTCCTTCTCCAATGGAATAGGATTCTCGGGTTTGGACAATTTTCCTTTTTTCTCCTTTAAAAACGATACTACATGCCTGTATTAATCAAAAAGAAATATTCTTTATTTTTGGTCCTCCAGGAAACCAGCTGCACGAAAATTATAATTATCTAATTTTTATGACATGAATATGAGTCTAGTTCTAGTTCCAGATTCGGCCAAAATGGTCATTGCCTGAGAAATTCATGATAAATTCAGGTCTTTATGGCTCGTACATAGATGGCTCTTCATTCTGAACAGAAAGTTTTGAAGCAAAGACTAACCAACTTTTTCTGAAAAATTATAATGTGTTGTACTTAGATAAAGACTAATGAAATTTTTATATGTTGTATTTTTTAAATTATATATTAACATAAACGTTTTTTGTTTCCCAGCACCCTTGAGAGCTTGCATGTGTTTTTAGACCAATTTTTTTGGAATGCGCGCGCACGCTCAATATACTGTAAAGCGTTTTGGGAGCACATACGAGATGAATCCAAGGTGAGAAGTCTCGAACAAAATTTTCACATTCAAAACATACCATTGACTTTTCACTAAAAATTTGATCTGAATTTGTAAGCATAAAAATTTTCGACGCTAAATTGATTGTTCAATGGGTATAAATACATAAACATATTCACATGAAATTTCTATGTTAAAGTTTACATTTTTATTTATTTATATTCCATGCTTCACAGAATATAAATCTTTATCTCAGTCATCTAAATTAAAACTTTTAAATTAAAATATTAACCAAATGGAATCGCATTGTTTATTTCAAATTATGAAAGAAAACAATTAGTTTTGAACTTCATTTAAATCACCTTTTCACAAGGTCTTAACCATTATAAGGATTTTTGTTCGAAATTATTTATTAGAAAGGAGAAAGTTATTTTAATTGCATTCAGAGTTATCGAAGTAATACCGTATTTTCAAACTCTTTTCTTTAAACGCATTCAAATTTTCACTTTTTTATTTGAGTAGTTGTTGAAAACATTTCAGCATTAACAGTATTACAACTGTAATGCTAATCTTCGTGAATATTTACATACATACATCATCAGGCTAAAAAAAAATTGTTTCCGGTTATACCCGACTGACCTCCTACACATTTTTTTTGAGAAAATTACGAGTTTCCGTTACTGTCTCTTTGTTTTACGAATTCGTACTACGAATTCGTAATGGCGGCGCACTTGTTTGCTGCAAGTAGTCGGTGTTCGCTGTTATTTTATGCCGTTAATATAATCATAAAATCATCCTTTTCAAATTATTTTGAGAGGAAAAATTTAATAAATTGTTTCCTGTTAAGCCGTTTTCACAAGATCAACCCTGAAAATATCAGCAGGAATTAACACGGGATCGTACCAAATTACATCTGATAAATGACAACCGATGTTTTGAAATTCATTATTACATTAAATTTCTTGACATTCAAGAAACATTAATGCTATACTGATCTTAAAAACAATTACAGATATCACGACATTGTCAATGAGCTTACTGTTTATACATGCATCACTGACGTAAATAAATATGGGTCAGACTAATTATGCTATAATATTAGTAAACGAACAAAAAATGTCATACATTTTTTTTT